TGGGAACTCCCGGACCATCTCCTCGAGCCACGCCACAGCGTCGCCGGCGCCCCCGCTCTTCGCGGCCGCCTGAGGGGCACGGAGAGGGAAGGGGGCACCGGCTCGAGGTGTAGTGCATCGAGCTGGAAGCGGCGATGCATCGCCGATGGACCGGCGAGAAGCCCACGATAGCGAATCCACACGTACGCTGGGACCTAGGACAAAGGAACATCCACATCCCTCGAAAACATTGAGACCCTCCGCCGGCCCGAACCGAAGCGACTGTACCTCGTAGAGCTCGGACGGGAATGAGCTCGAGGACTTCGGGCGCAGGATGGCGCCAGTTGGCCGACCTGGCCAGAAGGGACAAAGTGGTAACCTGGGCCTGGTCTTGCAAGACTGCTCGGGATTTGGCCATTCATGTTGAGAATGCAGACTCTTCCTCCGAGCAATGGATCATGGCGGTTGCAGTCGTCTTAGTCTCACGGCTCTAGCTGCAATATTTCTGCCAATTGTGTGGCTGCTCGACTTGCTCTCGAGATCTAGGGCAGCTAGAGAGCACTTCGCTTCACAGCTGGATCGGACGTCGTCGAAAGCATCAGTCTGTGACCTCGATAGAGCTGAGAGCGGATTCAGTACACGAGCTACAGTAGCAAAACGAGTTGCGCGCTGTAACTACCCTGCGGCAAGTCAAGCAGCTTTTCGACTTTCACATCGGAATGTAATGCAGTCACATGACTGTGTGGCATACCGAAGCGATCGGGCATCCTCGAAATCGTTCTGCAACTACTATGCTGTGGCTTTCCGACGAAACCTCGGAATTTTCAGCAGCTAGAGAGGTATGAGGCATACATCGATGGCAACCTCGAGGGCGCCGAGATCGGTATCCTACTCGAGCTATGTAAGGAAAACAATGTAGCAAGGCACCTAATATGCTTCGTCGAACTGATTTTTCTACCCAATCGTGGAATGTTGAGCAGCTCTGGTTCTTTAGGCATACCACTAGATCCACGTTGTCGAAGGCATCAGTCTGCAACCTGTAGGGCGCTGAGATCGGCCTACTACTGCGCTATACCCTTAACACTAGCTTCGCACTGCAACTATTCTGCTGCGACGCCTCGCTTTTGCGAGCAAGCCCCTGGGTTTTGATCAGCTGCTCCCTCGAGAGCGCCGAGCTCGGTCTCTTACTCGACCTATACTCGGAAAAAAGCTTCGCACTGCAACTATGTTGCTACGTCGGACTGCTTTGTCCACCAAATCTCTGGATTTTGAGCAGTCTCTCTCCGGCTTGGGTCTCGGGCTCATTGCATTCCCAGCAGTTTCTAATGTGATACACACTTCTTCAGAACTCCACGAAAAGTCTGGTGGCAACCTGGTTGACGCTTTACTGCCAGCTCCCGTTTCTGGGCGGGGTGGGCCATCGGGATCCCATCGGCGATCAGTGAGCAAATCTGGGGTCGATGCCTCCCCCCCCGGGGCCCAACCCCCCTTACGCTGCCTCTTTGGCTTTCGGGTCATGACTCGGCTCTCCGGCGGCCGCTCGGAACGACCCGGACACCCCTGGAGCGCCCTCGGCGAGGCGCAGCTGCTGGAGAGCAGCCCGAGGCTGGAATGCCGCCGAGAACCGACAGAAACGCCCGAACACCTCGAAACTCAAACCCGAAACTTCGGGACTCCCCCCAGCGTCGCCCCTGGCCGCCTCGATGATCTTGCCAAACGTTCTGCTGTTGGCGGGGACGCCGTCCGCGCGCATGCGGCCGTACCACTCCGCTGCTCGGTGCAGGTCACCCTTGTTGGCGCAGGCCTCCCGGCGCAGTCAAGAGCTCGCCATCGCTCGGACGCCCATGCCCCGAGCATTTTTCGATGTCGCGCCTGCATGTTGTCCGCAAGGCGATCCAATACAGTCGGGGCCCCTCTACAAGAAACCTCTCACAAGAAACCCAACCCCAAGACCCCAGGACGCCCATCGATTTCTGGTGTGGGGGCGTCACGCTGTCCATCGCAAAAGCATCGAAACCCAAGAAGCCCAGGGCAAACCTGGAGGCAAGCAGGGTGTTCTTGGCATGGGCCCCCACTGAATGAGGGGGAGGATGAGGATGAGGATGAGGATGAGGATGAGGATGAGGATGAGGAGGAGGAGGAGGAGGAGGAGGAGGAGGAGGAGGGCCAGGAGGAGGAGGAGGGCCAGGAGGAGGAGGAGGAAGAGGAAGAGGGGGGGGAGCAGGAGGAGGGGAAGAGGAGGAGGAGAAGGAGGAGGAGGAGGGAGGAGGAGGAGGGGAGGAGGAGGAGGAGGAGGAGGAGGGAGGAGGAGAAGGAGGAGAAGGGCCCCCCCCCCAACTGTATGCTCCTCGATGGTCCTCGCTGGAAAAGAAAAGCACGCGCCCGAGCGATGCCAAAGAGAGGGGCAAGCAAGCGGCTAGAGGCATTCCGGATGGGGATCGCGCCGCATCGCCCATGCAGCTCGGCGATGCACCGGCGACGTCGGCGTGGGGAAGCACGGGCTCCACATAGAGCCGCATCGCCAATGCAGCGGCGACGCGGCGCGATGCTCCAGCCCCATCTGCTCGGACCCCGTCCGGGAGGCCTGGAGGCAGACGGCCCAGGGGCGGAAACTGCCACACCTCCTCCTCCTCCTCCTCCTCCTCCTCCTCCTCCTCCTCCTCCTCCTCCTCCCTCCTCCTCCTCCTCCCTCCTCTCTCCTCCTCTCCTCCTCCTCCTCCTCCTCTCCTCCTCCTCTTCCTCCTCCTCCTCCTCCTCCACCTCCTCCTCCTCCTCCTCCTACTCCTCCTCCTCCCCCTCCTCCTCTTCCTCCTCCTCCTCCCCAGTTCGGGGAGGAGGGGACCCTCGTGAGCGTTTTCTTATTCGGCGTGTCGACGGTGGGCGGAAGGGGGGGGAGGGGGGAGGTTCTGCCTCTGGACCTCTGCTCAGTGCGACTGTTTGCAACAGTGCGTCCTATGGGAGAGACTCCACCTGCTTGAAGCAGGCGCTCCAAACAGCCAAGATCTACTCCAGGGGGGGGGAGAGGGGGGGCGCGAGGGCCCGCGCCGATCGGAAAAACAATGAATTAGAAAACGATCACCTAGCGTCTTCGTGTTTGCTGGACGTTCTTGTGCACACGGGGGGAGGGTACCCTCGAATGTTCTTCAGTTGGGGCCAGCGGAGGGTCTCATGTTCTTGAAAGATGTTTTTCTGGCCTAGGTGCGACTGTATCAACATGATTTCTCGAAGGTCTCGGGACGGTCCTGACACCTCCAGAACGCTCTCGGCAAGGCGCAACTACTGGAGAGCATCCCGAGACTGGGAATCCACCGAGATCCGACGAGATCCTACAACCCTCGTCAACATTAACCTCAAAAATGTCGTACGTGGCTGAACCGTTTGGGGACAGATACCGGACAGAGTAGCGATGACCACGAGGTACTTGTATGCGCCGCCCCTCCAATGTCGGTCATCATCGAACTTACCACCTTTGCCCTGGCCCCGACTTTGGAGGGGCGTCGATCGACATTGAAGGGCGCGCCAACATCGCAGGGGCGTGTTCGTCATTTTTGAGGTTAATTTTGACGAGGGTAGTAGGCTGGAAGACCTCACGCAGCCCAGTCTCTTTCAGGGGGCGTGTGTCTATGCATGCTGTTTGCTCGTCGGCTGGGGCCATCCGCCCCCGCTGCTGCGGCCGACAGGCCTTCAGGACGGTGTTCTTCCTCCTCCTTCTCCTCCCCATCCATACTCATCATCATCATCATCATCATCACCACCACCACCACCACCACCACCACCACCAAAACCATCATCATCATCATCATCATCATCATCATCAGCATCAGCATCATCATCATCATCATCATCATCATCATCGTCATCATCATCATTATTATCATCATCATGAGCATGATCATCATCACCATCATCGTCATCATCAGCAGCATGATCAACATCAACGTCAGCATCAGCACCAACAGCATTATTGGCATCATCATCACCACCATCATCACTATCATCGCCATCATCATCATCAGCAGCATCATCATCATCAACATCATAATCACCATCAACATCAACATCATCATCACCATCACAATCATCACCAACATCATCATCACCAACACCAACATCATCATCGCCATCACCATCAACATCACCATCATCATCGTCATCTTCATCATTATCATCATCACCGCAATCATCAGCATCACCATCATCCGTCATCACCATGACCAGCATCACCATCACCACCATCATTACTATCATCATCACCATCACCACCACGATCACCAACATCATCACCATCTTTTTCGTCAACATCCCCATCACCAGCATCATTATTACCACCACCACCATCACCATCACCGTCACCATCACCCTCACCACCAGCATCATCGACATCACCATCAACATCAACATCATCATCATCATCATCATCATCGTGATCATCGTCCTCATCACCACCGCAATCATCATTATCATCATCGCCATCACCCGTCATCACTATGACAGGGATCACCATCACCACCATCACCACCATCATTAGTATCATCATCATCATCATCATCATCATCATCATAATCATCATCATCATAATCATCAGCAGTATCATCGTCATCATTTTCACCACCACGATTACCAACATCATCACCATTGTCATCAACATCATCATCATCACCACCACCACCACCATCACCCTCATCCTTGTTCCTTATTAGAATATACCCCCACCTACGTCGTATTCCGGCCGATAACGACCCAATCCGGGACCTCCCATCCGGACTATAAAACATCAATAGAAAGTGGCCGTTTTTCTTCTCAACATCGTCTTTCTTGTCGTCGACGATGCGAAAAACGTGGCAAGAATGGGGCGCGGAACGCATCGCGCGTGGCAGTCAATCTGGGCCCGCCCATCCCGACTGTAACAAATCAATACAAAGTCTTCGTTTTTTTCCTCTCAGCATGCCCTGCCTTGTCGCCGACGGTGCGAAATATGTGGCAGCAGTGGGACGCGGCGCACATATGGGACGCGGCGCACGTCTCGCGCGGCCGTCAATCCGGGCCCGCCCATCCTGACTGTAGAATATCGATACAAAGTCTCCGTTGTTTCTTCTCAGCATGGCCTGCCTTGTCGCCGACGGTGCGAAATATGTGACAGGAATGGGACGCGGCGCACATCGCGCGCGGACGTCCATGCGGGCCGCGGGCCCTCCCATCCTGACTGTAAAAAACAATGCCGACTTGCCGTTTTTCCTTTCATCATGGCCTGTCTTGTCGTCGACGATGCGAAATGCGTGGCAGGAGTGGGGCGCGGCGTACATCGCGCGCGGACTTCTGGGGAAACCCAAAGGCGGGAGGGGCCACCTTACTTGTCAGAAACAACGCCATGCTGATTTTCCCTGCCCACATAGCTGTTCTTGTCGCCCACCCCGCAAAAATGCATGGCGAAAATTGGGCGCGGCACCCCCGCCCCCGCTCGAAATGAATGAAATGACCTTCCCGCTTGGGCGCCGAGCGAAATTTTCTCAAAATTGCGCTCCCGCTTTGGCTCGGCGCACGTTTTTAGCTCGCCAATTCATCGGGCGCCGGGGCGTTCCAGGAGGCCCTGGGGTGACGAATGCCTGGGGGTTTTTGCTTGTCCAGGCTCTTGGAGGGCCTCCTGAGGCTCCCCGCGGTTTCTTGGCGGCGTCTGCGGCCGTCTGGAAGCCATCTTGGGCGTCTTGGAGCGATCTTTCGGCGACTCAAGGCCCCTCGGATCGTCTCGGGGGCGTCTCGGCTCTCTTGGGGCGTTCCTGGGGCGCTCTGGGACCTGGAAGTCAGCGCTCTGGGACCTGCGACATTGAAATGCCCGCGCAGCCCCCAGTTGTGCCATCACTGTTTCTTATGTTGTGGGAGGGCGGGTGGGAATGAGCTTGACCCTCGCCCTCGCCCTCACCCTCATCCTTGTTCCTTATTAGAATATACCCCACCTACCTCGTATTCCGGCCAATAGCGGCCCAATCCGGGACCTCCCATCCGGACTGTAAAAAATCAATACAAAGTGGCCGTTTTTCTGATCAACATCGTCTTTCTTGTCGTTGACGATGCGAAAAACGTGGCAGGAATGGGACGCGGCGCACATCGCGCTCGGGAGTCAATCTGGGCCCGCCCACCCTGACTCTAAAAAATCAATACACAATCTTCGTTGTTTCCTCTCAGCATGGCCTGCCTTGTCGCCGACGGTGCGAAATATGTGGCAGGAATGGGACGCGGCGCGCATCGCGCGCGGACGTCCATGCGGGCTGCGGGCCCTCCCATCCGGACTAGTGCTACCAGTACCATTGGTACGACTACGACTACTACTACTACTACTACTACTACTACTACTACTACTACTACTACTACTACTACTACTCCTGCTACTACTTGTTCTGCACATTGTACTACCAATGGCATTACTACTTGTCTAGCAGTAGTACAAGTATTACTAGTACTTCTACTTCCATCGTGCTACTACTCTGTACTAATACTCGTACGAGCATTTGTATTACCTGTAGTACTTCTGCTTATACGACTCGTATTATTACTCGTAATCCTAGTACTACTACCTTCTCGTATCCCCACTTTACTACGACTACTTCTACTACTACTACTACTACTACTACTACTACTACTACTACTACTACTACTACTACTACTACTACTACTACTACTACTACTACTACTACTACTACTACTACTACTACTACTACTACTACTACTACTACTACTACTACTACTACTACTACTACTACTACTACTACTACTACTACCTACTACTACTACGACTACTACTACTACTACTACTACTACTACTACTACTACTACTACTACTACTACTACTACTACTACTACTACTACTACTACTACTACTACTACTACTACTTACTACTACTACTACTTACTACTACTACTACTACTACTACTACTACTACTACTACTACTACTACTACTACTACTACTACTACTACTACTACTACGACCTACTACGACTACGACTACGGACTTACGGACTACTACGACTACTACTACTACTACTACTACTACTACTACTACTACTACTACTACTACTACTACTACTACTACTACTACTACTACTACTACTACTACTACTACTACTACTACTTACGACTACGACTACGACTACTACGACTACTACTACTACTACTACTACTACTACTACTACTACTACTACTACTACTACTACTACTACTACTACTACTACTACTACTACTACTACTACTACTAACTACTACTACTACTACTACTACTACTACTACTACTACTACTACTACTACTACTACTACTACTACTACTACTACCACCACCACGTGCCAGCACCCAGTTGCGCCAGCATTGTTTCTTATGGTGTGGGAGGGAAGAACGTGTCGGTTGTTCGTTTCATCATGGCCAGTCTTGTCGTCGACGATGTCAAATGCGTGGCGGGAATGGGACGCGGCGCGCATCCCGCGCGGACGTCAATGCGGTGTTCTGGGGTATCCTCCACTCGCACTGAAATGCCCGCGCAGCCCCCAGTTGTGCCATCACTGTTTCTTATGTTGTGGGAGGGCGGGTGGGAATGGGCATGCCATGCTTGACTCGCTCGAGCTGGCTAGCTTGATTACTATATACCCCCACCTACGTCGTATCCCGGCCGATAGCGACCCAATCCGGGACCCCCATCCGGAGTGTAAAAAATCAATTCAAAGTTGCCGTTTTTCTTCTCAACGTTGTCTTTCTTGTCGTCGACGATGCAAAAAGCGTGGCAGGAATGGGACGCGGCGCGCATCGCGCGCGGCAGTCAATCTGGGCCCGCCCATCCGGACTGTAAAAAATCAATACAAAGTCTTCGTTCTTTCCTCTCAGCATGGCCTGCATTGTCGCCGACGGTGCGAAATATGTGGCAGCAGTGGGACGCGGCGCACATATGGGACGCGGCGCGCATCGCGCGCCGTCAATCCGGGCCCGCCCATCCTGACTGCAAGATATCCATACAAAGTCTCCGTTGCTTCCTCTCAGCATGGCTTGCCTTGTCGCCGACGGTGCGAAATGTGGCAGGAATGGGACGCGGCGCACATCGCGCACGGACGTCCATGCGGGCTGCGGGCCCCCCCCGTCCCGACTGTAAGAAACAATACAGAAGTGCCGTTTTTCTTATCAACATCGTCTTTCCTGTCGTCGACGAGGCGAAATGCGTGGCAGGAGTGGGGCGCGGCGCACATCGCGCGCGGACTTCTGGGGCAACCCCAAGGCGGGAGAGGCCACCTTACTTGTCAGAAGCAATGCCGTGCTGATTTTCCCTGCCCGCATAGCTGTTCTTGTCGCCCACCCCGCAAAAGTGCATGGCAAGAATTGGGCGCGGCACGCCCCCCCCCCGCTCGAAGTGAATGAAATGACCTTCCCGCTTGGGCGCCGAGCGACATTTTCTCAAAGTTGCGCTCCCGCTTTGGCTCGGCGCACGTTTTTAGCTCGCCAATTCATTGGGCGCCGGGGCGTTCCAGTAGGCCCTGGGGTGACGAATGCCTGGGAGGCTTGTGCTTGTCCAGGCTCTTGGAGGGCCTCCTGAGGCTCCCCGCAGTTTCTTGGCGGCGTCTGCGGCCGTCTGGAGGCCATCTTGGGCGTCTTGGAACGATCTTTCGGCGACTCAAGGCCCCTCGGATCGTCTCGGGGGCGTCTCGGATCTCTTGGGGCGTTCCTGGGGCGCTCTGGGACCTGGGAGTCAGCGCTCTGGGACCTGCGACACTGAAATGCCCGCGCAGCCCCCAGTTGTGCCATCACTGTTTCTTATGTTGTGGGAGGGCGGGTGGGAATGGGCATGCCATGCTTGACTCGCTCGAGCTGGCTAGCTTGACCCACACCCACACCCACACCCACACCCACACCCACCCACCCCCACCCCCCCACACCCACCCCACCCCCACCCCCACCCCCACCCCACCCCCACCCCACCCCCCACCCCACCATCATCACCATCATCACCATCACCATCACCATCACCATCACCATCACCATCACCCCCACCATCACCATCACCATCACCATCACCATCACCATCACCATCATCATCATCATCATCATCATCATCATCATCATCATCATCATCATCATCATCATCATCATCATCATCATCATCATCATCATCATCATCATCATCATCATCATCATCATCATCATCATCATCATCATCATCATCAATCATCAATCATCATCACCATCATCATCATCATCATCATCATCATCATCATCATCATCATCATCATCATCATCATCATCATCATCCATCATCCATCATCCATCATCCATCATCCATCATCCATAATCCATAATCCATCATCCATCATCCATCAGCATCAGCATCAGCATCAGCATCAGCATCAGCATCAGCATCAGCATCAGCATCAGCATCAGCATCAGCATCAGCATCAGCATCAGCATCAGCATCAGCTTCAGCTTCAGCTTCAGCTTCAGCATCAGCATCAGCATCAGCATCAGCATCAGCATCAGCATCAGCATCAGCATCAGCATCAGCATCAGCATCATCATCATCATCATCATCATCATCATCATTCATATTCATTATCATCATCATCATCATCATCATCATCATCATCATCATCATCATCATCATCATCATCATCATCATCATCATCATCATCATCATCATCATCATCATCATCATCATCATCATCATCATCATCATCATCATCATCATCATCATATCATCATCATCATCATCATCATCATTCATCATCATCATCATCATCATCATCATCATCATCATCATCATCATCATCATCATCATCATAATCATCATCATCATCATCATCATCATCATCATCATCATCATCATCATCATCATCATCATCATCATCATCATCATCATCATCATCATCATCATCATCATCATCATCATCATCATCATCATCATCATCATCATCATCATCATCATCATCATCATCATCATCATCATCATCATCATCATCATCATCATCATCATCATCATCATCATCATCATCATCATCATCATCATCATCATCATCATCATCATCATCATCATCATCATCATCATCATCATCTCTTGGTGCTGCTGCTGCTGCTGCCGCCTGGCCTTCAGGACGGTGTTCAGCACCATCCTCCGCAGAGGCGGGGCGTGGCCCTCCATGCGCAGGAACAGGCGCTCGGCGGTCGCCACGTCACCGAGGCCCGCGGCCTCTCGGTGTGGGAAGCGTGCGGGCAACGAGTGCTGGCTGGCACTGCTGCGCACGGCCGAAAAACCTGACTCCAGACCCGCCGTGCTCTGCCTGCTTTTCCGACTCGGCACTGCGTCCGACATGCACCCCCAGCGACGCGAAAGGTAGGGCAGGAACGGCCACCTCAGAGGCAAGCGGTCAGCGCAGACCTCCTCCTCCTCCTCCTCCTCCTGCTCCTGCTCCTGCTCCTCCTCCTCCTCCTCCTCCTCCTCCTGGGCAGCCGGGCGGGAGAGGGAGCGGCACAAGGCACCGAGCATGCCCTCCCCTCCCCTCGTCGAGGACACGACCTCTGCTGTCCCTCGCATCGCGCGGGAGCCTCCACGATTTGCTCTGGACTTCCCCAAAAATCTCTGGAGGTACATTGGAATCCCCCCCACACCCTGAGAAATCAAGGCCGGAACTTTGTTCCCCGTCATTCTGCGGCATTGTCCAAGCCGGATCGATCCGTGATGGCTCTGCGGCCCGACACCAAGCGAAAACGCCAAGTGCTAACAATTTCAGCGCCTGGACCTCGGTGCAGGGCGATTGAAGACAAGTCGTCAAACTCTTAGGCCCCTTACGAAAGGGAACGTTAGGGGGGGACCGGCTCACGGGTTGAAACATCGACCTGGAACTGGCGACCAATCGCCGATAGACCAGCCATAGGCCCCTGGTGACGAATGCGCATGTTCCTGGGCAGGGTGGGCTTTCGGGCCCCTATCGACGATGAATGGGCGATTGGAGGTCGATGCGACCCCCCCTGGGACACTTCTCCTCAGAGGAAGAGGAGGAGGAGGCGGAAAGGAGGAGGAGGAGAAGGAGGAGGAGGAGGAGGAAAGGAGGAGGAGGAGGAGGAGGAGGGGGAGGAGGAGGAGGAGAAGGGAGAAGGAGGAAGGAGAAGGGAGAGGAGGAGGAGGAGGAAGATGTCGGCGCCCCTGGCTTTCGGGTCATATGTAACTCGTCTCTCCGGCGGACGTTCTGGACGCTCCGCGCACCCCCAGAGCGCTCTCGGCGAGGCGTAGCTGCTGGAACGCACCCCGAGGCTCGAAGTCCACTGAGTACCGACGCAAACGCCCGACAACCTCGAAGCTCGAACCCGACGCTTACCCCAACGCTGTCCCTCACCTGCTGTAGAGGGACTCCCCGGGGCCTCGTTCATGGCGTCGAAGTCGCGCTCGGCGCGCTCGGGCAGCCCCCGAAAGCGCGGCCTGGCGCGGGGCCCCAGGGCCCGGCGGACCTCGCAGTGCGCGGCAGCCCTCGCCATGCCTCGCGGGCGACGACGACGACGACGACGACGACGACGACGACGACGGCGGCGACGACGACGACGACGACGACGACGACGACGACGACGCGCCCCGGGCGGCTCTGCGGCTCTCCCAGCGAGGAGCGGCGACCGTGCACCGTGCCATGTCTGGGTCGGGTGCTGCCAGAAGTGTGCCCCAAGGATTTCCAGGGAGGCACCTCCTCCTCCTCCTCCTCCTCCTCCTCCTCCTCCTCCTCCAGAGAACCCCTCACGAGGCCCAGAGGGCCCCAATGGCTCCAAAACGGCGCGAGAAGCTGGGGGTGCCGTGGGCCAGGAACACCTTTGACAACCCCCGACTGGAGCTCCTGCAGGCCCCGCTCCGACGCAGTGTGGTGCACAGCCGTTCGGCTCTGAGTGGCGAACGACGATGCGCCGTACAATCAACCCTGATGGTAATGGTGATCGACTTCCCAGGGGTACCCGTCGGTCGGAAGAAGTAGGTGGAAGCATGACGTAGGAAGGCGGATAAAGTAGATTGGGTTTGGGCCCGCACAGGGAAGAACAAAAGACAGCAAACACGGATCGACTGTTGAAGTAGGAAGGCGCTTGAAGCAGATTGGGATCCATGGAGATCCAAGACCACCTACTTTCAACGATCGACCTGCACCCTTGCCTCCTTGCTTCTTCGGTCATCTTCGGTCCATCCTCAACCACTTCCGATGGCCAACCTTATGTTGTCCTGATCGTACTTCAGGAGTACATCCCAGAAATGATCTCGAGCACCCAGAAAAGCATCGAAACGGTGTCGAACGAGTATCGCCTCCTGGGGCCCCACGCGTGAAAACCCTCAAGTCTCGGTGCTTCCTGGGTGCTCGAAATGATTTTCTGGTGATCAGGGCTGAAAAATTGGTTGGAACATCACATAAGGCCAGCCTCGCTCGAAGAGCCTCGGCATGGGCGCCCGAAGCCCTCGCCTGGGCCCAGGATCGGCGGCGCCTCCGGGAGGCGCCGACACGGCGCGGTGCACACGATCGGGGACCTTCTGAGCCGGGTGGAGACAGACCCGGGCCAGTCAGGCCTGCAGGCTCCTGCAGGCTCCTGCAGGCTCCTGCAGGCTCCTGCAGGCTCCTGCAGGCTCCTGCACCCAGACCCAGGTCCATGCGAAGGGTCCTGCAGGATCCTGCACCCAAACCTGGGCCAGTGCGACCCCGGCCCTGCAGGACCCTGCAGGATCGGGCGCGCTGGCTGACCCCCCTTTGCACTGATCCCCGTCCCCAAGCTCCCCACACGAGTCGTCCGCGGACTCTCGGGGAGGGAGAGTCACAGGCCAGCGCGGGCCGCAGAGATCCCGAAGGGCCAAAAAAAGGCGCGCAAAGATCCGATGCCGTGGTCTTCTCACTGCGGGGTCCCCGGAAGTCTCGGCCGATTCCCCAGGACCCGGTCTTCGTCCTGGACCGTTTCTGGACGGTCCCGGGGCCCGGCGAGGGCCCTTGGAGGCCGAGAGGTGGGCAAAACCTCCGTCCTGAATTCTTCAGTGCGAGGGATCTCTGGGCGGGGGGGGGAGGACGGAGGGATCCTTAGAGATCCCGAGATCCTGCACCTCCTGTCGCACCCTGGCACGTGCGCCCCCAAAAGCGGGCCCGGGGCCATCGCAGGTCGATGCGGCTCGAGGCGTGCCGCAGACAGATGGCCTCCAGAACCTCGGCCAGTGACTTCCCGCGACGCTCGTTCTCTAAGCGCAGGGCCAGGGAGGGCGGGAGGACGGAGGCAGGGAGGGCGGGAGGGAGGGAGGAGGGCAACCAGAGCAGGTCCGAGATTCATCAACGAATCTGAAAGACCTTGGCTCTTCCTAGAAAGGCCCTGGGCGTTTTGCTACCGTTTTGCACTTTGGGCTCTTGGGCTCTCGACAGGCCAAAAATGATCAACGACAAACGCGACGGTGTTTCAGCGCTTTTAGCTATGACGTTTAGCGTTCTAGGCCCGTCGCCGTGGATCATAATTTTGAACAGCGTGTTGGTCGAAGGCTGGTCCTTGTCTTCCCTGTTGTCTTCCCTCCCGCTTCCTCGTTTCCGTCGCCGCCTCCCTCTCAGAGCTTCGAAGCGCCAGCAACAACGCTCCAACACGGGTCTGACACCGGCCCCAAACAGGCCCATCGGCCCGATGGCCCCGGGGGGGGGCCATGGGCAATCGGGACCGCCAGACTGCACTCCAGGAGAAGGCCTGCACGCCAGGAGAGGGAGCCGAGGGCGTCGCAGATTGGCAGTGTTGAACAGTGAAACTGATCTGAAAAAGCAAACAAAAAACAGCCGAAAAAGCAACACAGCGAAGCGTTTTGGGAGCCTTATTAGTTTTCTTGCTGGGACCTAGAAACGCTACAACACATATATATGTATATATATATATATATACATACATATACACACACACACACCTTATCCCCCGCAGCTGCGGATAAGAGAGAGGGTGCTTGGCGGCGCTCTTAGAAGCCACGGCGCGCTCGCTGCTAGCGGGATTTTAACAGAAACCGCTACGAACACACCGCCCCTCTTCGGTGACCCCTCCAAGCGTACCAGCGTGGTCACCCAGCGTGGCCTCCAAGCGTAGCTTCCCAGCGTGGCCTCCCAGCGTGGCCTCCCAGCGTGGCCTCCCAGCGTGGCCTCAAAGCGTGGCCGCTGGAGAGACGACCCCAAGACAGACGAACGCGAGCAGGGACGGAGTAAAACCGCTCGGGCGCCCTTACTCTAATGAAGAGGGAGGAGGAAAAGGATGATGAGGAGGAGGAGGAGGAGAAGGAGGAGGAGGAAGAGGAGAAACAGGAGGAGGACGAGAGGCAAGACGAGGATATGAAGAACGGTGAGGCTCTCGTGAGGGCCAGACCCAGAGATATACCTTATCCCCCGCAGCTGCGGGTAAGAGAGAGGGTGCTTGGTGGCGCTCTTAGAAGCCACGGCGCGCTCGCTGCTAGCGGGATTTGAACAGAAACCGCTACGAACACACCGCCCCTCTTCGCTGACCCCTCCAAGTGTACCAACGTGGCCCCCCAGCGTGGCCTCCCAGCGTGGCCTCCCAGCGTGGCCTCCCGGTGTGGCCTCCCAGCGTGGCCTCCTAGCGTGGCCTCCTAGCGTGGCCGCTGGAGACACGACCCCAAGACGGACGAACGCGAGCAGGGACGGAACAAGACCGCTCGGGCACCCTCTCTCCGACCTTTATCCCCCGCAGCTGCGGGTAAGAGGGAGGGTGCGGCGCTCTGAGAAGCCACGGCGCGCTCGCTGCTAGCGAGATTTGAACCGAACCCCTACGGACACGCCGCCCCTCTTCGGTGACCCTTCCAAGCGTGCCAGCGTGGCCACCCAGCGTGGCCTCCAAGCGTGACCTCCCAGCGTGGACTCCCAGCGTGGCCTCCAAGCGTGGCCTCCCTCTCATCCTCCTGCCTACCTCATCGGGATCACGACCATCTCCAATTCAGACCACTTGCTGAACTGCCGCGGGGTGTAAACTCGACATCCTTCCTACCGCGCGGACGAAGACGAGATCGAACTTACGACCCGTCCTCATCAGACCACTCGTCGGAATTGCCCTGCTCCTACACCCTGTCTCATTCTTGCAACGCTGCTGCACATGCACGGTGGCGGGGTTTGCCGCAGGGAGCCGGATCTCTCTCTCTCTCTCTAAGTCTCTATATATAAACATATGTATATATAACAATCAATCCATATGTATAGATATAACGTGACTTTATGTTCATGTGCATACATATATATACATATACAATTCTGCATTGGGACTTCGCGCCATGCTTCTTGGTCCTTGAGGTTTGGCATGCAGGCGGAAGGGCAGGAATGTAACACAGACGCTTTAGCGATGACTCATTGTTGCAGTTTCCGACATCATCGTAATAGCAATGTGTGGTCAATCGTATTCCCCTCATGCTTCCTCTTCCCCTTCCTAAGTGTCGCCCTACCCTGCGAATTATGCCTCTTCCTCCTCGGCTCGTCTTGCGGAGGCTCCTCCTTGGAGAGCCTTTTGATGGGCCTCTAGATGTGGGTGTACACGCACATATCTGTTACAGTCGTCCCGTATCATAAGGATGCAAGGGCCTTGGAAGGCCATGTCGACACTCTGTGAGCGGGGCGCGGCCAGCGGAAGCGGCCAAGGATGGGCCGAAGGGGGAAGGCTGCAAGGGTACCCGTGGAAAAGTAGTTCATCCTTACTTTGCGGGTCGACTGGAATGGCGACGTTTTGGGCCGAACGACATCTTAGCTCTCACCCTCCGCCCTCCTGTCTGAGAGTATGCTCGATGACCTAATGTTCCCAACACCTGCACGGGTACGGGGCGGCTCGCTTTCACATGCGCATTCCGCAGGGAATTTTGTCGCATGTCATGGTCGCGGATGGATGGTGGCACTGCTTCAAAATGCGGAGCTCGACAGCGACTCTTTCAAGACGCATACAAATACTGAACATCTTGAAGGCTACTCGGGTGTGGGGGTGATCAGACTCAGATGTTGAGATTCAAGCTATCGCGTAGTGATCCCACAACTCGCACGGATGAAAGGCGGTTCTTTTCAAAACCGAACTCGCGCCTGGTACTTCCTCCAACATTGTAATCATAAAAATCAGGACTCCCGGCAGTTGCACGGATGGAGGGCGGTTCCTTGTCAGAATCGTGTTCTCGCTAAGGCGCCGCGAACATGTTCTTACAGCCTCTACCAACAACATGGACGGAGGGCGATGTCTTCTCAACCTTCGTGCCTCGCGCAACGCGATGCAATCGGATCGTGATCTAGTCGTTGATGCACGCTGCATAGCACATACGTGGCGCTATCACCCTGCATGTCCTCCATGTTGCCCTCATTGTTCAAGCAGATGGTCGCCGAAGTGAAGGGCACGTGTTCTTTGACATGGATTTGAAGAAGGTAGGGTCTATCGGTGTATTGCAGCATCAGAGGCGCATGCTGATGCTACTCTGGTGCTCCTCTTCTTCTTATTCTTCCTCCTCCTCCTCCTCCTCCTCTTGCTCCTCCATTGCACCTCGGCATTTGCCTATCGGCTCGCCCCAGGTTGAGCAGAGCAAAACATGGCCCCGTCCCCTGGAGCTATCCCTTACCTTCACCTCCTCCGTCCTCCCTCCTGCCCCTGCTCCTCCTACCTCTCATTTCCACAAGCCTTCGTCCTCTGCATCTTGCTCTCCCCTTTCACCTCCCTCTCTTCCCTCCAACACTGGGCCCCAACCCCCACCACCCATTTCATTCCTGCACCCCGTCCCCCCCCTCCGCGCCCGCCTCCTCCTCCTCCTCGCTCCCGTCTGCTCCTCGGGGTCCATCGCTCCCCAGCGCAGCGTGGCAAAAGAGCGACAAGGGGGTAAGGAGGAGCGAAATGGGGAACCGGCTTAAGGACAGGAGTGCTGCCCTGGCATTGACGACACGGTGCAGATCGAATCGGTGATAGGCCTACGAGACTGCAACCCACGCCCCAGACCAGGGTGGGGTGGTCACCCCAGTCCCGATCGGGCGATGCAGGGGCGAGTGGGGGGTCGATGGTCGATGGTCGCTTGCCCCTGAAAGGGGGCACGCGAGCTTCGGAGCCCCCGGGCGCCGGCCGAGCATCTCGGTCATGACGCAGCTGCAGCAGGCGACGGGTCCTGAGCTTCGGAGCAAAAAGAGAGAACAAATGTGGGAAACCAAAACAGAGATCGATACCGCCTCTCCTCGGACTTCTCCAGGGGTGCGCTCTGACCAGATTTTCGAGACGAATCTGGCTGTGGCTAGGAGGGCTCCCCAGGCCGAGCAAGGGGGTCGATATCTTTTCCTCCTCTGAGAAGGAGTCCAGCAATCGTGCTACCACAAGGAACGCCGAGTGAGGAACGAACGAGCTTGTTCGGCCACGGCGAGCCTCGGCCACTGACTGATCGGCTGCCCGACCCAGATCTGAAGAACGCCCTGAAATCCCCGAGCCCCTCCCGAACCCACATGGGCCTTATTTCAGCCCATTGGCTGCAATCGGCACGAAGGACACGGGGGAAAACGAAAACCCACCTCCACCCCCCGTCCCGACCCCATCCGCGATCCCGCGACCCAGGGGGTCGGGACTGTGGTGGGGGTGGCTTTCGAAGTCCAAATATGGAAAAAACGCCCCCGCCCCCAATCTCGACCCCTTGAATCGCCGGCTCGGGGATGGGAGTCGGAACTGGGGGTGGGGATGGGTTTTCGCCTTCTGAGAAGCGGGTCCTGAGGGAAACGGGTCCTGGACCCTGGAAGCCTCCCCAAGACCAACTTTTCATCCTGGGTCGTTTTTGTTGACCGTCCGTGGGGACCGCGGAAGGGGGCCCCGATAGCCCAAAGACGGCCGAGAAAAACTTCTGGACCCGCTTGCCTCATGGCGACTGTAGCAGAAGAGCAAACACAGAGAGCATAAAGTCCACCATCATATCAATCACCCCGGCGCGCGAAGCCGTTTCGTAAACGCACCCAATGAAGGAATCGAACAGGGCAGGGCCTTCCAATAACCGCCCAAGGCCGTTTAGCGAACGCCAAATATTTGGGTGACCCAAAAAAGGGTCCAGCTGAAATGGGGTGGTGTAAGAGCGAGTTCATAGCAAATCTAATGCGCCGGAGAATTGAATTCTACTGCGAGTAATGTATTGCGCGCGAGAGTACAGCAATACATTGGCGCCCGAAATGTATTGCACGCCCCAAATGTATTGCAACCCCACAAATCTATTGCACCCCCCTCTTGCTGCTGGACCCCCTTTTGGGCCAACCCGAAACTATCGGGTCCAGGTGGATTCCCCCTTGAAAAAGACAGGGCGTATCAACATCGGCGCTGGACCCCCCTCCCCTGGCGCGCGGGAAGCGCTATGGGCGGCGCTGGAGGCGCTGGCAGGGCGAGCCAGCGCAGAGCTCCGAACGTTAATGTTCATGCCATTCTCTTCGATTCGTAGCGATTGCAGATTCGATCCTCGGCCCAGTCCTTTCGTAAACCCTCTCCCAAGGTGTGTTTTGACCGAGATTTCGATGTGAATCCAGAAGTACTAACGAGGGCCTCCCAGGAGGCCCAAAAGGCGAAAACGATACAACAATAGCGGCGTCCGTACGTTTCCCCCCCCCCCCCCTGGGTGGCGACATGCGAACCCTCCCCCCCCCAGCCATCGATTCTCCTGAATCGACGGGAGGCGGCGGTAGGACGAATTCCGAACCCCGCCCGCGCCGCCCTTCGAGCTGCCTGATCGGCCAAGGTAAGAATTTCAACGCCGACTCCTCGGCCCGGCCCGCGTGCAACGCTACGACGCTGCAGCGCAGAAGAACAGAGAAAAAGGAGGAACTCGAATTGCGGGGGTTGGTGGCGAGAAAGATAACATGGCGGGGCTAGGCGGGCCCTCTCTTCTCTTTCAAAGATGCATGCGCTCCGGTGCTCGGGCCCAGATAACAGCGGGGTATCCTAGTCGAATCGGGATTGGGCGGGCGATCGAACAGCGCTAGCGGAACAAAGGAAGCGAGAAAGAGGGAATGTCTGACATAATCAATACAAGATGCTGGGCCGCCACCTTGGGGGGGCGCGCGCCGGCTCGGCGGAGTGCGCGCCCACTGACCGCATTTAGAGGGCGCGCTCGTGCTTCTTGGAACAGCACCGAGCAGCTCACTTGAATAATGCGGGGCGGCTAACCAAGCGCCGTGACTGCGTGTGCGTGGGGGCCGCGGGTCGCGGTCGAGGCGATCGAAAGTCTGAGCGAAGCTCGAGGAAGTGCGACGCGCGACCCGTGAAGGCGGATAGACATATATAGATGCGACGGGCCCTATCGGGCCCTTGGACTGGCAGGGTGGAGCGGGGAAAAGGTGGGAGTTTTCCATGAGGGCGCGCGGATGGTGGCGTCCTGCGCTGCGCCTCGCCGCTCAGTCTTTGTCCTCCCCCTCGCTGCTGCGAAACTCGTCCTGGCCGGCCCTGGCCGCGTCGTCCGCTGCGGGCTCCTCGGCGCCCGCGTCTGGGGCGGTCGGGGCCTTCTCCTCGTCGTCGGACGCCGTGTCCTTCTACGGGTGCGAGGCAGTGCGCTTCTGGTCCCGCATCTTCTTGCTCTTGAGACCACCGCGACACCGCGACGGGTCTTCTCTGGAGCCCTCTCGGGCTCGGCCGCGGGCGCCTCCGTCTGCTTGACCTTGTTCTTGCTGCCCTTGCTGCCCTTGTCGCCCTTCTTGCCGCGCCTGGACTGCGCGCGCCGCGCCTGGCCCAGGCTGCCCACTGGCGCCCGGGATCCCGGAGCGCGCCGGAAGCTGGGCGGCGGCCCCAGCTCGCGGGCACCCTTGAAGTGGTCGCCGGGACCGAGCGCTGGAGCAGCGAACCCTGGTGGCGGACCAGGTAGCTGTGGAGGCTCGACCCCTGGCTCTGACCCAGCTTGCTGGGGCGGCCTGCGCTTCGGATCGGGCGACCAGGAGAGAAGCCGGCGCCACTGGGCCTGGCCGTCCGAAGCCGAAGAGGGTCGTCGCCGATGCTGGGCCAGGAAGACCTGGCCACGGGCCTCCAGCGCCGGCGGCGCGCACAGCGGCACTCATGGGTCAGTGAATAAATCCAGTGCGCCGCCATGCGCAAGGCGAAGATCACGGGGCGCACGTCTGGGTCGATGTTGCCCTGCCCGCTCGCGACGCGCACGAACGCCACGCGTGGCTGCAGGTCCACGCGCCCGTCGGTGACAAGGGCGAGCCTCGATGTGCGCTTCGGGGGGGACTTGCTCATGTGCCACTCGCAGCGGATGCGCTCGTCGACCTTGACGGCGTCGAACAGCTCGCTTGGAGGGAGGGGCGCGCAGCGACTTCGCAGCGATCTCCTGCGACCTTCCTGTCCACCGGCGCGCGCGCAGTTCTCGTCGTCGCAGGCCTCCTCGAACGCCTCTGGCGGCGGAGGCGCGGGCGTCTGGGCCTTGCTTTTCGCGGACATCCGCGGGCGCGCCTGAAGGCGATGGCTGGGGCGACACCGCGGGCCGCGGGGCTGCGCTCGCGCTGCCGCGCGTGGCTGGGGGGCTGCGCTGGCGGCGGCGCGTGCCGGGAGAAGCCAGGACCTGGTCGTCTTCGCGGCCGCGGCGGGTGGCGCCTCTGCGAGGCCCGGGTCCAGTAGCGGGGGCCTCCTTCGCGAAGTGGTGGAAGTGAACGTGGCTTACGTGCTGCGCGGTGGGCGTGCCACTTCGATTATGTCGCCGGTGGTGCATCATGGGTGGTGCCGGCTTCGACTGGCGCCCTACTCTAACGCCGCGGCGGTGGACTGGCGCTCGCTTCTGAGGACGACGAGGCTGGCCGCTTGGTTGCAGCGGCGGCCTTTTCCTTGGGCGCGGCCACGCGCGTCGCCCTCTCGGGCGCGCGCGCAGGCCCCGTGGCAATGCTGACTGGCGCAGGCGCGCGCGGGCGCCCGGCGCCGAGCGCGCGGCCCGCGCGCGGGGCCGCTGGCCAGCGCGCAGGCGACCGACGCCGCGCGCGGCCCGCACGCTGAACGTGCGAAAGGCTGCGGATGTCGCGCACGTACGCAAGCGCACACCTGCGCACATCGCACTGTGTACTCCCGCACATATTTTTCCACTCTCAACTGCATCGCTACCAAATTCCATACAGAGCCAGCTGCGCGACGCATCCTAGTCACTACTAAGCGACGCGTACTCAGTGGCCTTGTCGATCGTGGCCAACGCGAAATCAAAAAGGGGATCTCCGAACAATATGAGTAAGAGGATGTAGGTTTTGGCCAGACAAGACTGGAACACGGCGGTCACACTACTGGTCACTGGTAGTCGACTCCCTCAGAAGGCTGGCGCTCATGGCCAGATCGTACGGTGAGCTTGCCCGCTGCGTGCGGAATGACAATGTATGGGCTGCGGTCTCTCCTGCGCGGTCTCTCTTGCGGCACCCCGTGGAGACAGAGTGGAATGCTGCGCGGTTGCCGCAGCCATTCGCGATGCCATGTCGCGGGTACCCCCCCGGCTGAAGGCCGATAGCTGGCCTGAGCACAAAACTCTCGAAACCACAAGACGTGTGTCAGCAGCGAGTGGTCTGCAGGAGGCTTGAGACTGGTGGCTGTTACAGCGGTGGCGACACCCATGGGCCCAGGCAAAACTCGAACTGCACAGCCGAATGGCCGAAACATTGCTGCCTCGCTGGGTTGTTTCCCAAGAGACGGTAGACTCACAAGGTCACTTACGGTCGTTGGCGTAGGCATCGTCGCGCATGTGGGTGAGTTGGGCGAATTTCCGTGGGGGTGTGCAGAACAACCATACGCACAAACCCTTCAAATAATAAAGGTGGTGGTGGTAACAATGCGGAGTTAGGGGAATTCGAATATGCATTCACATCGCATTATGCGCGTCTTCCGTGGATGCGGGTTGGGAGAGGTCCCAACCCCGCTACCAACTAGAACTGCGGAGGTTAGTGGCGACAAAGAAACCATGGCGGCGATATGAATGCGCTCACGGTTTTTGAGCCCAAACAGAGGCGGGGCATCCTATTCGAGCGACGAAGAAAAACGAAGAAAAGGAGGAGTAGGAGGACCAGGGGGACTGGGGGAGGAAGGGGAAGAGGAGGAGACGAAGAAGGAAGAGTAGGAGGAGGAGGAGGAGGAGGACGAGCAGGAGGAGGAGGGGGAAGAGGAGGATAACGAGGAGGATAACGAGGAGGAGGAGGAGGAGGAAAGGGGGGGCGGTTATATGTTCCTTCTCCTCCTCCTCCTCCTCCTCTTTCTCATAATTTTCTTGTTCCTCTTCCTCAACAATTCTGCTCTTCCTCTTCCTCTTCCTATTTCCTCCCTCTCCTTTTCCTCCTCCTCCTCCTCCTGCTCCTCCTCCTCCTCCTCCTGGTACTCCTCGTCCTCCTCCTCCACCTCCTCCTCCTCCTCCTCCTCGTCCTTGTCCTCGTCCTTGTCCTCTTCCTCGTCCTCCTGTTGAATACGCTCGGTCCTCGGTCCGGTCCTCTCCGCATGCGCCGCCGTGAACCAGGCCGCGCGATGCGCAGAGGCCGCAAGGCGCGGGCCGTGGCCCCCGCGGGCACGGGGCCCGGCCAGGCTCTGCTGGGCCAGGCGGCTGCGCGAGCCCAGCGCTGCTGCCCAACGCCCCCCCCAACGCGGGAGGCCGAGCGGAGGTGGGCGGAGGCGGGGTCGCAGGGACAGCGGCGCCTCCTCGTCCTCGTCCTCGTCCTCGTCTTCGTCGTCTTCGTCGTCTTCGCGTCGTCGTCGTCGAATTCGTCGTCGTCGTCGTCCTCCTCCTCCTCCTCCTCCTCCTCCTCCTCCTCCTCCTTTTTGTCCTCGTCCTCGTCCTCGTCCTCCTCTTGTTTTTACTCTTCCTCCTCCTTTTCCTCCTTTTCCTCCTCCTCCTCCTCCTCCTTCTTTTCCTCCTCCACCTCCTCCTCTTCTTCCTCCTCCTGCTCCTCCTCCTCGTCATCGTCCTCGTTTTCGTCCCCTTTTTCTTTCCCTCCACCTCCTTCTCCTCATCCTTATTTTCCTGTTCTTCCTCCCCTCTTCTTCTTCTTCCTCCTCCTCCAGCTCCAGCTCCAGCTCCAGCGCCTCCTCCTCCTCCTCCTCCTCCTCCTCCTCCTCCTCCTCCTCCTCCTCCTCCTCCTCCAGGTCCAGGTCCAGCTCCTCTTCCAGGTCCAGTTCCTCTTCCAGGTCCAGGTCCAGGTCCAGGTCCTCCTCCTCCTTCTCCTCCTCCTCCTCCTCCTCCTGCTCCTCCTCCTCCTCCTCCTCTTCCCTGCTCCCTGGTCCCTGCTCCTGCTTCTGCTCCTGCTGCATCTCCAGCTCCAATTTCTCCTCTTCCTCCTCCTCCTCCTCCTGCTCCTGCTCCTGCTCCTGCTCCTGCTCCTGCTCTTCCTCCTCCTCCTCCTCCTCCTCCTCCTCCTCAGCCCAGTTCAGCTCGCTGCGGAAGCAGGCGTCGGTGCCGCACGCCCCAAACAATAGAACACTCAGGCCTCGTGGGCCTCAGCCTGAGCAGGTAATAACACGGACACACCTGGACAAGAGGTGGAAAGCGCCCCGCTTCTCCTGTCCAAAACCATCAACCAACTCAGGGAACTCATCTGCCCCCCCTCCGTGATCTGGACGCCCTCATGAGACAACCGACCGAGGGTGGGGTAACGATGGCACGTAACCGGCCACCGTTTGTACTGCCGATCCCAGCTAGGGGGCTCCCTTGGAGAACCTCGACCTCTGCTGCCTGAGGCCTTTGGTGGGCGGACGGCCTGGGCACGCAGGAGCAAAGGAGGCCACGCCTGACTTGGCACTCTCCGCACTCAGCACACGCAACCACCTCCCGCGACCGACCCGCCGCCCGACGTTCATCAGGACGAAAACCTTCGTTTTGCGCAACTGGTGACAATGCCGACGGGCGAGGAGAGCAAGCTCAGCCAATTGCTCTGAACTCCCTAGAACAGCCTCCCAGGTGCCCGGAAACATGCAGTTTCAACCCAACGCGTGGCTTCCACAGGGCCAGGACAGCTCGCTCGACCTTTCTAGCCTAACAAAGGTGAACATCCTTTTGGGCGTCGCGGTCTCCGCGTCTCGCGCCTCGCCGCGCGCGGTGAAAACAGAAGAGTTCGCCAAACCTCAATCGGCCATTGCCCGCTTCCACCGAACTACGTCTTGCTGCAAACAAAACTTGGACCGCGCCGAAAGCCTGGTGGGCCTCGGCTCCTTCCCTGGCATAGCGGCATGCGCGCTTGTTGCCGAGACGCTCCAGATCGTTGCAAACATCGTCGAGGGCATCGGTGGCGGTCGCATGGCCCCGGACTTTGACAGCCTGCAGCCCGCCCTCAAAAACGCGCCGCACCTGACTCCAGACGCGGGCCCTCGGGCCACGGAGGAAGCGGCTCTTGGCCCTGTCCTAGACGCGCCTTCGAGCACGCGAGCAGTCCGTGCAAATCTCATATTCAGAATAAGGGTCAACAAGTTCGGCCGCCGCTCTGCAGACGCGCTCCTCGCCGCACAGGGGGCGCGTCGCGAGGGGCAGGCCCGAAGGCATCGCGGGCGGCCCCGTCCCAGCCGGCAAACTTCGCCAGGCTCCACCCTGATCTGCATTGCACCTCGCGCGCTGCGCCCATTGCGGGAACGCCCGACAACGCGGCCCCTCGGAGCGTTCTCGAGGCAGGCTCGCGGGCCCAACAGACACGGCGCAGATCCTGAATCAAAGGGGATCGCGAAAGACAGCCCGCGGCGAACTCCGCCAGATCCCGGTTGCGCAAGCTGGCCTGCCGCGCAGCGTCGCGGGCAAGAGAAGAAAGGTGCTCGCGGCGGTCTCCTTCGAAAAGCCTCGCGGCAGAATCCCCCGCGAGGAAGAGGGCACGGGGGCGGCCGCGCAGAGCTATCAGGAGGTCGCCCTCGACCAGCCCGCGCCCCAAGTCTGGCCCGGGCCCGGGCGCCCGGAGCAAGCGCGCCCCAGGCGCGCGCCTGGCGATGCTTAAACCTCAGGCGCCCCCCCACTCGCGAGCCAAAGGGCACCTTCCCCGAAAGTGTGCCTACACCAGACAACATGATTCTTAGGCGTACACTGGGGTGACCTTCCATCGGCCCAATGCCCCGCACCGCAAGGTCTTCTATAGTCAGTGGCGCCATCGCCAGCAAGTCGATGATCGAGACCCGACTGCGCTGAACCAATCTGGCCGGTAGAGGTCCCCCACCCATCTCCAGCGCGAGCAAGTGCGCGTGCGCCTGGGATGCGGCGATGCGCCGCGGGCGCCAAGCCGCTCGGAGGTCGTCCGACGCCTGTCTATGCGCACTCTGCAGCGCAACAAGGCCTGGGGCGCCGCCCCAGATCGCTCTGGACCGCTGAACAGAAACAAAGACACTGCTGCGATATGCCACGCACTGGTCCATCTTGGCCACGATCGGAAACGACCTCTCCCCGCCCGGACCCCCGGTCGCACCCGACCCCGCACTTTGGATGCGTTTTGGGGCGGGCCCACCTGCCGCAGAGCCCCGGAGGCCGCAAGCCTCGGGGCCCGCGAGTTGAATATTGCCCACCAGTGCCCCCGCGCGTTCTGCAGTCTCAAAATGCGCCTGTGTCTTTTGCCAGCCTGCAATCCTTTCCTGGCAGCAGGTGTCCCGCGGGTCTTCTTTGCGACAACATCCTGCCCCAAGGATCTGACAAACGCGTGGTTCTTAAACCCGAACTTGGCCCGTGTCTCCTGCGACCTCTGCTGCGATGACCCAGGCGATGCAGCGCGCGAGGTTTCCCATGGCATCAGAATCAGCTTCAACGCAGCAAACCCCCAATTCACAGCGACTGCTGCCCCTCCCAGCTGCCCGCCAACAAGAGCTGCCGCGCCAGCGCCCTTGGAGTGCACATCGTCGACGGCACTCCCGGCGATGAGCGAGGGGCGCGACGAGGTGGCTGCGGAAAACGATATATAGAGCACCGCCTCAGCCAGAGCCGCGGCCAAACTGCAACCAAACGAGATCGCCCCCGCGGCCTCGAACAGCGAGGACATAGCGCCTCGACAAGATAGGGCGCGCCCTGGGCAGGGTCGTCCAACCAATGCTGCTGGCTGCTGCGAGGACTGTCGCGATGCGTCCTGCGTTTGCCCCGCCGCTGAGGGCCTCGACCGCCTGGCCCCCCGGGCAGCTGCTGCCAGTCGTCTGGCCTGGGCGGTCCTGCGGCGCGGTCCTGCAATCGGCTGCCTCTCCTGCGACAGTGCGCGCGCCGCCTTGGCCCCCCGTCGCCGCCGCCTCTGGAGCCCGCGACGTCCACGCGGCCAGTCTCTCGTTGGAACGATCGCGGAAGTGCTTCTCGCGAGCCGATTTCACAGGCGGCCAAAGGAATCCGAGCTCCGAGCCATCCGATTCGTCAATCGCACCGATGGTTTCAGGCAGGCCAGGAGCGAGGCACAAAAACAAACGTGGGACCCAGGAGACTCCGGTCCAGCGCCGTGGAAAGAAAGCGACGCAACTCCTGGCGCAGCTCGGAGCTTGCCAAGCTAGCCCAATCCATGCGCGGACTTGCCGAGCGGCGAGACAGCGGATCGCCGCGAGCGTGACTTGTCTGTAGAAGTAACCGGCCATTTGGATGCAATGATCGTATCCAAAGAAACCCGTTTCCTCCTGAAACCGCCCCTCACACACGCAAACTTGTCCTGGCATGCCCCCTGCAAATCATAAGCTTGACAACGCTCCAACTCCAGACGGCGCTCGGATCCAGATCGCCCGCGTCCCCGGCGTCCAAATTTTAATAGTGCTGACTGGGTTTACTAACGCGTCTGATAAGTCGGTGGGTGTGGAACATAGTCCAGGTACGTCTAACATGCACTGGTAAGTCCTGTCTGACACCCTTCAACGTGCTTTCGACTGGTGGGCGTGGCGAGATCGGCGCTTCGTGCCAGACGTCGGCATGCTTCGCGCATGAGATCAAGCCACCAGAAATATGAAACATTGCATGTGCTTGACCTCTTCCCGCAGCAGAGGCGCAGACACGAGGGGCAGCAATCGACGCCCCGAGCTCTCTGCACCACGCCAGGGGGCCCTCTTTACTAGGATTCATTTAGCATCACATCCGAGGGTCCATAGAAACGAAGAGTCCGTCCAAGAACTGACCCAACCCCATCGCGAATCCAATGTTCGCTGCCCCCATGATGCCGAAAACCGGACAACCCCACCAGGAATAGCACATTCACGTGTCTAGCATCAACGCGCCGTTGTGCCTCGGGGGCCGTCTTACGTTCATCGAGCGACAGCGTGCGCTGGTTACTCCTCCTCCTCCTCCTCCTCCTCCTCCTCCTCCTCCTCCTCCTCCTCCTCCTCCTCCTCCTCCTCCTCCTCTACTACGAGTCCCAGTAGTTTGCGGCGCAGCGGTGGATGGGATGTGCAATTCTAGAATGCTTTTCTGATGGACGCCCCATGCCCGAATATGGGTCCAAAAGTACCCTATGAACCTATAGCAAGCCTGGCAAACCTCCTCGCTGCCGTCCTCTTCGGCCCCGTCCACGCCAGCCGCCTCTCCCTCTCCCGCCCCCCCTCTGCAATGACTCATGTCGGGCGCGGTGTCCCCCCGCTCCCTGCCCCTGTTGTCTTGATAACTGTCATCCGCTCTCGGGATCGCACCT